CCCCAAAACCCCAAAACCCCAAAACCCCAAAACCCCGTATAGTTAAAGGCCAATTACTCTTGAAATTAAAAGATAATAAAGTATAATAGTTATTCAAAATGAGATCTAAATTTGTTCATGCCTCAACTATTGCTAGTTACTTGGTGATTTATGCTGCTTCAGGAATGCAGTAAGGCTCAGGAATGAGTAAAATTGATTAGGCATTACAGGTTTTCGATCTATCTTACGATGATATTGTGATTGAGGAAGGAGAAAACTGGGTAGAAAAGTACTATATTAAACAAATTAAAAAATGTGATCTGCAGATGCCAGATGGGTATAAGGCAGATATGAGATCTTTGGCTAGAGACTCTCCACCAGATTACAGTTGGATGGATGCTTAAGGCTACAAGTATTACTTTAATGTTTGCAGAAATACAATAATGACTTGTGGTGGTAGAGACGATGGTGTAGCAATTCAATATGCTCCAAGTAATGAATATTTCAAATTATTCCTTAACTTATGCTTTAATAGATGGAAAGTGCACTGCTCTTCTTGGTAAAATCCCTATGTACGGAGAATACTTAGATTAAAAAGATAGACATAAGGGCTTTGCAGTCATATATGGTGGAGGAGATTTCTGTGAAGAAGGCTGGATGGAAAGGAAAACCCGCTTTGAGTTTCACTGTGATCCCACAATTGACTTTGAGGTGAGGTACATGGATAAGAGTAAGGCTTGCATGTTTACTTTCGAGATTAATACAAAGAAAGCTTGTGACTATATTGCTCCAAGCGGGTAAGTAGTTAGTGGTGCTAGAGGCTTTATGCATAAATTAGTGGATTTTTACTATGGAATTATTCTATTCGTGGTATCAATCATCTACTATCTCTTAGTGCTCTTCGTCATTTTTTGCATCTATAAAGTAATCACTATGCAGCTAGGAGGTCAACAGCAGAATAGCTTTACCAAGAGCATTCCTTATAAGGACAGAGCACTTTATTACTATCAAAGATTCAAGGCTTATCTGTTTGGAGGATGAATTTAATGGTTTTATGATTCTGGCTAATGTTCATTAATATTTACTTCATCTCATTATTGGCCTCTATCCTGTAAAACGGGGTTTTGGGGTTTTGGGGTTTTGGGGTTTTGGGGTTTTGGGG